AGCAGTCAGTCTTCTTCTAGGACATTTTATACCACTGCAAAGTAAAAGCCTATTATCAAATTTCCCTAAATATTTGGGATCTGGTATCCAAAAAAAAAAAAAAAAAAAACACAAAACCTGTATTTGAATTTCAACTTCACCACTTACTAACTAGAAGGTTGCTAAGCTACTCTTTGTGTCAGTTTCCTCATCTGTAAGATGAAGATAATGACAGTTGTGAGAATTACATTAGTTAGTTAGCACAACAAATTTTAAATGGTGTCTGGTATATAATTAGCACTTAATAAATGCTAGCCAATATAATTGCACTGGAGAAATTCCAGGATCTGGGAAATAGTATGTGGTACATCATGACTAGTGAATAGCTACCTATGGAAGGCAGGAGAAGAGATGGCTGCAGGCATTACAAAAACTGGAAAGACATGCCAGAGACACAATTCATCTCAGAGTTAGAACCAATATTCGATGATGACTTTGAGCTTGGGTAAAAATGTGAGGGAACAAGACTGTCTTGAAGCTGTAGTTCACCAATGACCCTTTCAGGAGATCTAAGGACAATCAAAGACTGTAGAGAATCCTTGAGGATTAGCAAATCCTCCTAGTCTAACTTCCTCTGAAGCACTTCCTTATTCTGGCTTTGAGCTTTGGTGGGACTGTAGCTCACATGCACCACTCCTGGCCTGGTGAAAGCTAACTACATTGTGAGCTACACATTGACTATGCCTCCAACATACTGCCAGTTACACAGAGCATGCCCTCCACCTGGTATTGTGACAATGATTCTTTCGAAGCATGAAATCCTTAGAAACAGTTACTTGGAAAGTAATCGGCAAGGTCACTGAGACAAGACAATAAAGGCCCATTATCCTATGTCTAGCGTGACTTCACCCAAACTAATTCAAAGTTTCAAGTATTCCTTTGTGAATCATTTGGATAAGAAGGAGAGCATTATGCAGATATCTTTGTGTACTTTTTACTTCATACCATCCTAGCCTGGATTTAGTCCCTAACTTCAGAAATATATCTCAGAAATTTGATAAGAGAAAGACGAAGCACCAGTTGTGGCCTCCTCTGTGTTTCTGTGGCAAATGCCAGCTTGCCAAGAAAGAACAGGTTAGTGTATTTTACCACATGGAAAGATGATCACAGATTACAGATTGCTTCCCTCTGCCTGCAAATGTGCTTAATGCCTGTCCACCAAAGGAAAAGCCCTTCTGTTTTTAATGATTTCAAAATAACATTCCATAGCATCCCTTGGTAATTCATTCCAACATGTTATAGTTTCTTTCTTCTGGTAATTATATCCTCAACTATGTTCACATACATTAACTTATAATAATCCTGTGTAGTGGCCATGCACGGTGGCTCATGCCTGTAATCTCAGCACTTTGGGAGGCCAAGGCAGGGCAGGCGGATCACGAGATCAGGAGTTCAAGACCAGCCTGGCCAGCATAGTGAAACCCCATCTCTACTAAAAATACAAAAAATTAGCCGGGTGTTGTGGTGGGCACGTGTAATCCCAGCTACTCTGGAGGCTGAGGCAGGAGAATTGCTTGAACCTGGGAGGCAGAGGTTGCAGTGAGCTGAGATCGTACCATTGCACTCCAGCCAGGGCGACAGTGTGAGACTCTGTCTCAAAAATAAAATAAATAAATAAAATAATCCTCTGTAGCAAGGATTATACCTATTTTACAGTTGAGGAAATGAAGAACCAAAGAGGGTAACTGACTCGCCAAGATTGCATAGCTGATTAGTAGCAGAGCAAGAATAAGAACCTGAATACTTGGCTATTATTAAAAAGTCAGAAAATAATAGATGCTAGTGAAGTTGCAGAGAAAAAGAAATGCTTATACGTTGTTAGTGTGAGTGTAAATCAGTTCAGCCATTGTGGAAGACAGTGTGGCAATTCCTCAGACCTAAAGACAGAAATACCATTTGACCCAGGAATCCCATTACTAGGTATGCACCCAAAGGAATATAAATCCTTCTATCATAAAGACAGATGCACACATTATGTTCATTGCAGCACTATTCACAATAGCAAAGACATAGAATCAATC